GATACATCTAATTTTTTAACACTCAATATATGTAAATACATTTTGACAGCATCTCTTGGCTCGTCACTCAGAAATAGTGGTATTATATCAAGGTCCTTTATACACGCCATATTACTACCGCTATTACACGATTCTAACAAATATTGACAAACGATCAAACCCATGATTTTAAGTGATATGGCTTCTTTTTATGCCCCCGCCGCGATAGAAAGGGCATTAAGTGTTACCCTTGTCCGTCAGTACGTCCATCCATATGTACATACGTACGTACGTCCAAAAATTAGTATCCGTTCTCTAACTTTAGGTTGCCTCAACGAAATTGTTATGAAACTTATACACAATGCTTATTACCACAAAACACAGATCAAGTTGAATTTGGGTGGCGTTACTTTTATCGTTCTATAGTTATGCACCTTTATTTATAAATGGAAAATTGCTGAGTTTTTTGTTTCCGTTCTTTAACTTTAATTTGCTTTAACCAAATGTTAAGAAACTTATACACAATGCTTATCACAAAAAAAAAAAAAAAAAAAACACAGATCAAGTTTAATTTGGGTGACGTTACTTTTACCGTTCTAGAGTCATGTCCCTCTACAAATGGAAAAAAAAATGCTGAATTTTTCGTTTCCGTTCTCTCACTTAAGTTTGCCTCGACCAAATGTTATAAACTTTATACAGCCCTTGGATGGTGTAAACTTCCCAAAATAACGTGTATGGTGTAATGGTGTATGGCATATGGTGCAATGGTAGAAGGTGTATGGTGCTATGGTGTATGGTGTAAGGGGAATGGTGTAATGGTGTATGAGGAATGGTGTGATTGTGTAACGTGCGATCGGGAATGGTGTGAATGAATGGTGTACGACATTTCATTGGTTGAAACCGAAGTTCATTTTATTTTAATTTTTCGGATTGTAAACATAAACAATAATAATAATCCTATTGTTCTTTTTTCCCAGTAAAGCAAATTACTTTACTCGTTAGACTCTATGTCATATATATTTAATATACACATATTAAAAAATCTTTTTTTTTATATTCTTATTTACATTAAACAATGGCTTTAAAATTACACACTTGTGATCACATGCAGTTATCATAAAAGAAAGGATTTTATCTAAACTAGAAGGATGATAGAAAGGTTATCCACGCATCGGAACAGTATTTTTATATCACGGGTTATCAACATCATTTTTAAAGTTGCTTCGTTCCCCACTTTTGACAGTCTCTTTATAATATCTTATCGTCATTCACCTATGTTTGCCTTGGATTTACGATTCTGTTTTCCAAAAAATGTTCAAAGGAAAATTGTACAGTGTTATTGCACATAAGGTGTTGTATAATTATGAACAATCTCGTCAATTTCGTTAGATTTGTCTTTACGGATTATAAATGATATCTTGAACGTCCGAAAAAATATACTTATGTGAAACGGAATGAAATACTTGTATCAACACATGGAACGTAAGCGGCCCGGTCAAAGGTCATAGGGGAAAAACCGCTTACATCATTGAGCACGTAATAATAAACATTGATCGCCAGAATCACTACTCGAGTTGAAAATGTCTTAAATCATGCAAATTATACCATTTTAAATAGTTATATAATCCATTAGGTTAGTAAAAATACAAAAACTTAGCCAGTGTGTATCCTTTCAGAGGTGCAAAACCATACTTTGTCGTACACAAGCCGTGACAAGGTCCTTTTAGCTGTTTAGGTCACGGTCTTCTGCATTACCTAACTGAAATATTTTAACTTTTGTGACTTATTTCCGTGTTTATAACACTAGACTCAGGAATGGTTTGCTTATGAATTATTCCATTTTATTGCATACATGTATATAGGGATCCCTATAATTGTTTAAAGGGTCCACCAGCTAGGTTACTTACTTGTAAAATGTACTGTTCCAAACAGTCAAGATCTGTCAAAATTAAACTTACAAACATGCTGATTTTTACCACCTTACAAATATACTTGATATTTCTTTTTTTTTTAAATAAAACAAGTTTCTGCTGTAACTGCAACAGGCACATGTGGGGTACACCCCCTTTTATTAAATTTCTGTGGTTTTTTTATGAATTATTATGGCTTAAAATGTTTAATTTTTACTATGTTTATACCATGCTTATTTGTGGCTACTGTGCATGCCTCGTCTTGTTTCAAGTCAAATTACCAACTCTGATACAACCCCTTATTTTACTTTCCATACTAAACATTGCTAAATTAAAAATATTGAATATTTTAAGTAATAATAAAAATTAAACCCCCAAAACATCAAGCAGGGTCTACTTCACAAGGCTCCTGTGAATACTACAAGAGACTGTACACAAGCATATAAAACCTTGATCATGTGAACTGATATTTTTGCATGGTTATTGGTTGTTCTTTGCCAAGTTTAAAGTTTACATGATCAAAGTCTTTATTGTAACAGTGTACATGGTGTAATTGTGGGGCAACAGCAAGGTTAGTAATAAGATCAGATATTTTATTCCAATAAAAATGCCCATGAAAAGCAAAATAAATTATAACAAAGATTTTAATAATTGACACAATAATTTTAATAATCATATATAAATATGAACATGATGAATATAATCATAAGATCAAACCACACTCAAACCATGGTCAACGCCATAAGCATGTAAATAAAAAAGCAGTAACCCAACAACATGCAGAGTTGCATTTTTTCATCTTTGGTCTACACACCCACAGTGTATTTTGATTCATATTCTGGTATTTCAATTGCAGATTTCTAGTGAAATAATGGGTATAGTAATCTTTGTTGGTTATCTGTTTACAATGTTTGGTTAAATTATTGAAAATGTATAAAGTTTCAAGGAGAAGTTGTTCAGTTATATCCTGCTCTAACAGTTGGTACAAAATAGAAAAATGGATGCAAGAACAATGTGAAATACATAAATGTAACAAGGGAACTGGATCATGTGACTGTTCACCTCCATTTCAACTTATACCTTTTCCCACTGAGAGAAAAGATCCTGCTGGTCGCAAAAAATGGACAACAATTGTAAATCGAAAACATGGAAACAATAATTGGCAACCTAATTCTGAATCTCGAATTTGCTCCAAACATTTTGTAGATTGTGAACCAACTCTTAGTAACCCGTTACCAACACTTGACTTGGGTTACACACCAATACAAGTAACAAAATTTAGGCCCCCTCCACGTGAAAGACATGACAGTCCCCCTCCTAAGAAAACAAAGCGAAAACTTGAGAATGACCTTTCAGTTGAGGATTTGAACAAACACATAACTTCTGATCATGACTACATGTATATACAAGACACAGACTGTAACCGTGAAGTAATTTTATTGAGGGACCAGGTACAGAAACTGCAAAAAGAAGTCAATATGTATAAATCTGCTTACATAAGATCTGTCAATACTAAACGCAAAACAACATTTGACATAAATGTTATATTACAAAGTGACAAAAAATGCAAATTCTATACAGGCATACCAAAGGTTGAAACTTTCAATGACTTTTTCATTGAATTGGAACAAAAAGTGAGGCAAATGAGACATTGGAAAGGTCCAAAAAGGACATGCAATCCACTTAAAAACAAGAAATATACAAGATCAAATTCAAACAGAAAATTATCACTTAAATTTGAATTTGCATTGACCCTTATGAAATTAAGGTTAGGCCTGTTGTTTGAAGATCTTGCTGACCGATTTGGAATTTCTACCACCCATGCTTCAAACATATTTACAACATGGATAAAAGTTTTGTCCAGTACAATAGGATCTTTGGTGTTTAACCCATCAAAAGAGGCAGTTAAAACAAATTTACCACCTTCTTTCAAAGGAACAAAATACATTGATGTCCGTCACATCATTGACTGCACCGAAGTATTTTTAGAGAGACCCAATAATTTAGAGGTTGCAGCTCAGACATGGAGTGATTATAAACATCATAACACAGCTAAATTCTTAGTGAGCATAAATCCTTCTGGCTTAATTAATTATGTTTCAGAGGGTTTTGGTGGTAGATGCAGTGATAAATATATTACTAACAATTCTGGTTTTTTAGACATTCTTGAACCATATATGACTGTGTAATGGCTGATCGTGGCTTCACCATAAGGGAAGAATTAGCTTTGGTAAGAGCACAACTGTTTATTCCACCAGGTCGTAGAGGTGTTACACAAATGTCAACAAATGAAGTCCAACAAACAAAAGAAATTGCTAATCGCAGAATTCATATTGAGCAAGCTATACGAAGAATGAAATACTTTAGAATACTGAAGTATGAAGTGCCGCTTACTCTCATGCAACATTTGGATAGTATTTTTAAAACAATTGCAGGAATATGCAACATGTACCCCCCTCTTCCAAAGTATGAGACATAATTTTGATTGTGATCCAAAAATTGTGAAAAATAATCACAATTCAGGTTTTGTTGTTAGTTTTCATTTGTTTCACATTTTTCATGTCATTGTCTTTTACCACTGACTAAAGGGTATGGGGTTTACTCATCATTGAAGGCCACACAGTTGCCTATTACTACTAATATATTCACTTCATTTGAACTCTGGTGGAACGTTGTCTCATTTGCAATCTATTGGAGCTAAACAATACCACATCTCCTTATTTTTATAAAGTATAGCATAATTTATATATGAAAATTAAATCTTTTCTACAGGTACATATTCAGGTAAAATTATTTGATAATGCATATATAGTAACTGCATTCTTCTAAAAATTAAAGTTTCAATTATTTGTACATGTACATCATGCATTCTGTATGACAAATTATATTTAATTACTTTGAGTGCATTTTTTGCAAACCCACTGCTGTAACTTTGATGCTACCTTTTTTGTTACATTAACACATCTGAAATGATACCACAAGTCACAAATATCACAGCAAATACTATGATCAATAAAATTTTCAACATTTTCAGAGTTTTTCACAATGTGATTACATGATGGACAAAAATATGTTGTTTCAAACTCCATTTGGTCCTCTATAGGACTGCTGTTATTCCTGGTACACACCTCCTGTAGATTTGAAGCAGTTTGCATTTTAAGTTCACCAGAAAATAGTTCAGGAACAAAATATTTTTCAAAAAATAATTTTAAACTATCAACAATTTCCTCATAATAAGGTTTGTCAAAAACAATTCTCTGACAAAATGTTCCATTACATGTATATATAAAAAAGTCACAATATTTCCTTCCAGTTATTGCTAACTGGCCTTGAATTTGGCCATAATATTTGTGTTTTTTTTTTAAACTGTACTTAGTTCCATCAACATACAAATAGTCTGGAATAGAACAACTGCAAAATGTTGTACATTTGCCACATTTTGGAACAAGAGGACATTTAATTTCAACAACACCTGAGCCACAACAAGCACAATCAACGAGTAAATCAGGGCTAGCCCCAAGATAAGTCATGTCATTATCAAGAAATATTCCACATTCTGTAATAATAACATCTGTGTGGCCTGCTTTCTTCATACCCACAAGGTAACATGATTTGGCTTCTGGTTCCATTTCTCGCCCATGCTTAAGAGACCTTATGTTAGGATTTAACTTTTTGTATCCCATGAGTCGTGAAATTAATGGATCAAAAGTAACACCCTCTTTTTTCTTATAACTCTGCACTTTTGTATGTATTTCGTAGAAATTCGATGATGTCAGACGACCCGATCTTATTTCATGCCATTTTTCATTGCTGCACTGACCAACCGTAGAACGCATTACTTTTTGAATTTCACTCTGAGTATACTTTGGCATGTTGCTTAAAAAGTCAGTTTGGTTGTTACATTTTGTTTTAATGTCTTGTATTGTGTAGGCTGTGATGTCTTCACTAACTGGTTTGGTTACTGTTTCTTCTACACTTTCTGTGACAAAACCTGAAAGAATATTTTAAACAACATATTTAAGTGCATTGATTTTGACTTGGGGAATGGCTTTTTTTGTGGGGAGGGTTTTGAAATTTCCTCATTTTTAATAAGAATTTTAGGCTGTGTCTTGAACAAATTGTTTTCAAAGACATATCCTTTTTAGAGTTTTTGTAGAGATTGGAACCAATAATAACAAAAAAAGCCCCAAACTAAACAAATCATAACATCTGAGATTAGAACTAAAGGTATATTCATCATTTTAGATTTTCAAGAAAAACAATGAAAAAAGTTTTAAAACTAGTTAATATGTTGTGACTTGATTTTCAACTGTTCTTGTTAAAAAAAAAATTTGTAGTCCAAGTTATTCATCTCAAATGACTTATTCTTGTAAATTTAGATTTATCACGAGATCAAATTTTATCATGTTATTATAAACTGCATTCATACGACATAAACAAACAAATAAAAAAACTAGCAAAAAAGCTCTATGAGAAAATTAAAACAATAAAACAATAAAAACTTAAAACAATTGAGGTTCTTCAAGTTTATTTTATTATTATAACATTGTATTTATATGTACCTTTGAAAATACAAGCATTTGGGATAGACTTCTTGAGTACTGCTGAAAAAGTGTCCAGGTTGTCTCTACTTTCAGGTATGGGCTGGTACTGCAACTTGGACTGGCAAACTAAAGGTCTTTTACTATCTAAAATAAAACCGAAAGAATTAATGACTTATCCCCCTTTGATCAATGAACATGAATATAGACTACTCTTGTGATCATATTTTGTTGTTGTTTCACATACTGGAATAATGTATAAAAAGAATATCTAGTGTATCAAAACACAAACTCGTGACATATATTTCCTACTTGTTGACGTTATCATTAATGTGATAGACTTATTAATTTACATGTTAATTTCTGTGTCATTTGGTCTCTTGTGGAGAGTTGTCTGATTGACAATCTTACCACATCTTATTTTTATAATATATCTCATTATTTGCTTTGTTAGTTCGAGTCTAGTTTCCATGGTAAAATCCATGACAAGGATTGGTACAGCAGTATGGAAATAAAAACATATATAGTGTGGCTAATAAAATATCAAAAATTATAAATGGTATGTATGTCAGTGGCGGATCCAAGGGGGGGGGGAACCCCCTTTTTTTGAACAACCAATGCATTTGAATGGGGACATATAGTTGGAACCCCCCCCTTTATCCTGGGATAGGTACACCACCACCCCCCCCCCCCCCCCCCCCCCCTTCCCCTCCCCTTTTATAAATGGCTGGATCCGCCCCTGTATGTAATGACTTTTTGATACTAAATTCTATTTAAAATCATATAAAATGTACACAACCTTTGAAATAATTGATCAGATGTACATGAATAGTAGTTATTACAAAAATTGTAGCCAAATTATATAGAATTTTTCTCGTGCTTGGTAATAAAAAAACATACCTGATTGTCCATGTCTTGACTTGAAGATTCTCAAATCTTTAATTTTAGTTGGCTTCACTCCCTTTATTCTTGACGGTACTTTCCATGTGCAGGGGAGGGAAGTACATGCAGATGCACCTAGTTTGTTTGCAGCCTCAACTCGGAAAAGGAGTCCAGCGACATGATTACATGTTCTTCCCAAACTGAAAAAAAATACAACTAATAAATGATCTTGTTCAATACCCAGTAAATCTACAGCAAATGATGCAAGTCGATCAGCAAGAAAACTTATATTGACAAAACAGTTATTAGTTTTAAATTAATAAAGAACTGCAAGATAAATGTGCAAACATAGAAATAAACATGTCAACCAACAGTTAGCATGGTTAGTTTTATACCATGTAGGTTTTTACAGCCGTGACAATGGATATGATTAGCAAGGAACATTTTACAAGAAAGATAAAAAATGATATACCATTTCATGAACATGTGAATTTGAGGTTTTCTAATTAAACATTTCCCATAACAAACATGACAAAGGTTGGGGACAATCTCCCAAATGGGATATAAATTTACTGTACTTCAAATCTTGCTTTTCTTTAAAAAAAAAATTAATTTAACAATCATTTTTTTAAAACATTTCCCCTAATTTGTTTTGGCACATTAATTTTTCATACATTTATGTTTCAATTGAGGTATTATATCTCGAATGGGATAGTTTAACCCATTTTGGAGATTGGTCCCAACCTTTTACAGCTTATTAATTGCTATTACATTAAAATGGAAGGCTTTACAGTACATTGCAAATCTATGAGGTTATGGATGGGGATCTTTCATTTCTGTATTCTTAATTTTACATTTGTCTTCATCTTTAAAAGAATGGCTATTCTGTAATTACATTTATTACTTGATGACTGTATTTTGGACTTGTTTTTTTCTATAATTATTATATGTTTGCCCATTTCTTTTATTTTTGTAGTTATTTTTTATATATTTAACATCCCATTATTCTGAGATTTTTCTGCTCTTAATTACTTTGCACATTTTTCACTATTCTTATTTTTTCTCCATTATTATGTATTATGTTAAACCCATCCACACCCTCATCTATGCATATAATTCAAGGAACTTTACTATACATTTTATATTAAATAACATGAAGTCTTACCCTGCTGTGCATGTGCAGTATGAGGATCCAATTTCTCCTGTTGCTTTCTCAACACACACCCAGACATCATGTTCTTCTTCTTTTATTTTTTGTGAAGGCACACATTTTGCTCTTAGAAAACAGTTCTTGGATCTTGCATCAATGTCATGATAGAATATTTGTTGCAAGAATCCATTTTTAAAATATTCATAAGCCTTGCCAATTTTATAGTCTTGGAGAATCTCCTTCATTTTACCAGATGTATTTTTTTCGCTTAAGTACTTTACAATGTCAGATATGTAGACTGGTGGAAATTTTTTCATACCATTTTTCTCATCTAACCAGTTATTATGAATCTGTAGTGGATCTGGTAAAGCTTGGCCGTTTATATTTAGCAAGTTCTGATAGTCTAGTTTATTGGTTTTGATAATTTCAAAAGAAGTTGGAATGACTGCAATTTTTAAAACAGACGCCGAATAGCAAAGAGCCGCCAATTCACTTTTTGTACCATCTTTCGTCATACCTCTCTTTGTCAAGAAGTCGCGCAAAGCACTTACTTTCCAGGTTAAAAAATCATCTAAAGAAGTGTTTTGGTCAGTAGTATCCATTATAAAAGGTAATATCGTATCAAATGTCAAATATATAAAAGGTAAAGTATATAAAAATCGTGTAAAAATGTATCAAATTAAGTTCAGAACTTCACATCTTTCTTTCAACGTTATCACGGCGGCCATATTGTTTACAATGGATACGGAAGTTTTCCCCTATGACCTTTTGACCCGCACCGCCATATTGAAAATGACGTTAAGTGTTGATACAAGTATATTTGCCACTTGATATTTAACCACCAACAAAATCAACCAACCGACATAATATACTAACAGTATACTTTTCCTAGAAGAGAACTTCTCATACTTTTCATTATAAAGTACAAATGAAATCTGTCATGTCAGTCACACTGTTGGATGATGAGGTGGAATAGTTTTATTATACAAACCATCCTGAACTACTGAGTTTAAATCATCACACCTCAGCAAGCACGACAAATTTATGCGCAGACCAACCCATCACACAATAGCCCAAAAGGAATCTGTGATGTACCCGTCCATATTCAGAAGTCATGGAAGTGGGAAATACAGATACTGATACTGACTTTAGTGACAGTTTTATATAACGAATACAGAGATGAAATGCTGGCACTCTAAATTAAAGCGGACAAGATTTGTTATCATTGTATTGCAATGTTGCTGTCATTTGTATTATACAATCCATCCTGACATCAAAATATTGCTGATTTACTATGCGGCTGCCGCTATATAGATTTACATAATAAAGTGCAAATATGGTCAGTTTTGTTTGATACTTTAAAATAGTTTTGTTATACGAGTCAGCCTGAGGTATCAAAACTACTGAAATTTTCTTGCGAGACAATATTTTAAATAAAAAGAGGACATGCTGGCTTTCTAGATTGATGGGGACAAATTTTTGTTGTCATTGTATTGCAATGTTGCTGTCATTTGTATTATACAATCCATCCTCACATCAAAATATTGCTGATTTACTTTGCGACTATATGCTGATTTACTATGCGGCTATATAGATTTACATACATGACATTATAAAGTACTAATATGATCAGTTTTGGCTGATGCTTTAAAATAATTTTGTTATACAAGTCAGCCTGAGGTATCAAAACTACTAAAATTTTCATGCGAGACAATATTTTGAATAAAAAGAGGACATGCTGGCTATCTACATGAATATTGATGGGGACAAATTTTTGTTGTCATTGTGTTGCAATGTTGCTGTCATTTAATTTGTATAATGCAATCCATTCTGACATCAAAATATTGTTGTTTACTATGCGGCTATATAGATTTACATAATAAAGTGCAAATATGGTCAGTTTTGGTTGATTCGTTTAAATAATTTTGTTATACGAGTCAGCCTGAGGTATCAAAACTACTGAAATTTTGTTGCGAGACAATATTTTGAATAAAAAGAGGACATGCTGGCTATCTAGATTGATGGGAACAAATTGTTGTTGTCATTGTATTGCAATGTTGCTGTCATTTGTATTATACAATCCATCCTGACATCAAAATATTGCTGATTTACTATGTGGCTATATAGATATTGCTGATTTACTATGTGGCTATATAGATATACATAATAATGTGCAAATATGGTCAGTTTTTGTTGATGCGTTTAAATAATTTTGTTATACTAGTCAGCCTTAGGTATTAAAATTACTGAAATTTTGTTGCGAGACAATATTTTGAATAAAAAGAGGACATGCTGGCAATCTAAATTGATGGAGACAAATTTTTGTTGTCATTGTGTTGCAATGTTGCTGTCATTTGTATTATGCAATCCATTCTGACAACAAAATATTGCTGATTTAGTATGCGGCTATATAGATTTACATAATAAAATGCAAATATGGTCAGTTTTGGTTGATTTGTTTAAATAATTTTGTTATACGAGTCAGCCTGAGGTATCAAAACTACTGAAATTTTGTTGCGTGACAATATTTTGAATAAAAAGAGGACATGCTGGCTATCTAGATTGATGGGAATAAATTTTTGTTGTCATTGTATTGCAATGTTGCTGTCATTTGTATTATACAATCCATCCTGACATCAAAATATTGCTGATTTACTATGTGGCTATATAGATATACATAATAATGTGCAAATATGGTCAGTTTTTGTTGATGCGTTTCAATAATTTTGTTATACTAGTCAGCCTTAGGTATCAAAATTACTGAAATTTTGTTGCGAGACAATATTTTGAATAAAAAGAGGACATGTATGCTGGCAATCTAAATTGATTGGGATAATTTTTGATGTCATTGTGTTGCAATGTTGCTGTCATTTGTATTATACAATCCATTCTGACAATAAAATATAGCTGCTTTACTATGTGGCTATATAGATATACATAATATTAAAAGTGCAAATATGGTCAGTTTTGGTTGATGCTGTAAAATAATTTTGTTATACGAGTCAGCCTGAGGTATCAAAACTACTGAAATTTTCTTACGAGACAATATTTTGAATAAAAAGAGGACATGCTGGCTATCTAGATTGATGGGGACAAATTTTTGTTGTCATTGTATTGCAATGTTGCTGTCATTTGTATTATACAATCTATCCTGACATCAAAATATTGCTGATTTACTATGCAGCTATATAGATTTACATAATAAAGTGCAAATATGGTCAGTTTTGGTTGATACTTTAAAATAGTTTTGTTATATGAGTCAGCCTGAGGTATCAAAACTACTGAAATTTTCTTGTGACACAATATTTTGAATAAAAAGAGGACATGCTGGCAATCTAGATTGATGGGGACAAATTTTTGTTGTCATTGTGTTGCAATGTTGCTGTCATTTGTATAATGCAATCCATTCTGACAACAAAATATTGCTGATTTACTATGCGGCTATATAGATTTACATAATAATAAAATGCAAATATGGTCAGTTTTGGTTGATTCGTTTAAATAATTTTGTTATACGAGTCAGCCTGAGGTATCAAAACTACTGAAATTTTGTTGCGTGACAATATTTTGAATAAAAAGAGGACATGCTGGCTATCTAGATTGATGGGAATAAATTTTTGTTGTCATTGTATTGCAATGTTGCTGTCATTTGTATTATACAATCCATCCTGACATCAAAATATTGCTGATTTACTATGTGGCTATATAGATATACATAATAAAGTGCAAATATGGTCAGTTTTTGTTGATGCGTTTAAATAATTTTGTTATACTAGTCAGCCTTAGGTATCAAAATTACTGAAAAATTGTTGCGAGACCATATTTTAATTAAAAAGAGGACATGCTGGCTATCTAAATTGATGGGTATATTTTTTGTCATCATTGTGTTGCAATGTTGCTGTCATTTGTATTATACAATCCATTCTGACATCAAAATATTGCTGATTTACTAAGCGGCTATATGAATTTACATGATAAAGTGCAAATATGGTCAGTTTTGGTTGATGCTTTAAAATAATTTTGTTATACGAGTCAGCCTGAGGTATCAAAACTACTGAAATTTTCTTGCGAGACAATATTTTGAATAAAAGAGGTCATGCTGGCTATCTAGATTGATCAGGACAAATTTTTGTTGTCATTGTATTGCACTGTTGCTGTCATTTGTGTTATACAATCCATCCTGACAACAAGATATTGCTGATTTACTATGTGGCTTTATAGATATACATAATAAAGTGCAAGTATGGTCAGTTTTTGTTGATGCGTTAAAATAATTTTGTTATACGAGTCAACCTGAGGTATCAAAACTACTGAAATTTTGTTGCGAGACAATATATTGAATAAAAAGAGGACATGCTGGCAATCTAGATTGATGGGGACAAATTTTTGTCATTGTACATGTTGTTTTGCAATGTTGCTGTCATTTGTATTATACAATCCACCCTGACATCAAAATATTGCTGATTTACTATGCGGCTATATAGATCTATATAATAAAGTGAAAATATTATGGTCAGTTTTGGTTGATGAGTTAAATAATTTTGTTATACAAGTCAGCCTGAGGTATCAAAATTACTGAAATTTTGTAGCGAGACAATATTTTTAATAAAAGGAGGGCAAAAATATTTCCAAATTTTTTAACCCTATATAAATTAACAGATTGACACACTCCCCATTTCCATTCTCAATTTTATAATTATAAGTGCAAATATGGTCAGTTTTGGTTGATGCTTAAAATAATTTTGTTGTACATGTTGTACATGTACCAGTCATCCTGAAGTATTCATTTTTGGCATTGTTTGTCGATATATCTGAAAACCAAGTTTATAAGATTTACGATACATGTTAAAACCGATAATAATAGCATTGTAACCAATATCGTTTTTAATTTATAGATAGGCAGATCGCGGATAAATTTGCATTACAAGCAAAGTTTTATGCGTACTTTATTTACAAATACATGTATATATATTTAATCTGTATTGTTTATATAACCATCATAGGCATGACCACGGAGATTTTAATTTTATACATTAATTTACAATTTTGTGATCAAAATTCGTTTTTTAAATCAAATAAATAATTTTGTAGTCGCACGCTTTCTTTGAAATTTAATTGCATTATGGGTAATTTCGGATCGTGTAGATAGAATAGGGAATGGTGTATGGTGTAATGTGTAAGGTGTATGGTGCAAAGGTGTAACGTGTATGGTGTAATGGCACAAGGTGTATGGTGTAATGGTGTATGGTGAATGGTGTAATGGTGTATGGTGTGAGTGGGAAGTTTACACCATCCAAGGACTGTACACAATGTTTATTACAACAACCCAGATCAAGTTTGAATTTGGGTGGCGTCACTTTTACAGTTCTCTAGTTATGTCCCTTTATAACGTTATATGCAAGCGGGGCATCATCTGTGTCCCATGGACGCATTCTCCATTTATTCCTAATCTATTTCGCTTATCTAGACAAAATCAGAGAGTCGATAACACCTAGAGGATTTTTTTATAACAAAAAATCTAAATGAAATATGACAGATAGTTTTCTTTCATTGTAGCCAAAACTAAGCTTCTGAAAAAGATAAAATCGCTCACTTATCAAGAGTCATATTGACAGATCTTGATTGGTATACACTTTCAACTTACATCATACATCATTACACTATACACCATACACCATACGCCATTCCCTGTTCCCCTTTCCCATTTGAATCATACGCGATTCGCAACATTTTATAATTACTCATAATATTAAGTGTTTGAGGGAATTGCAAACGAGTTAAAAGTAAGAAATAACAAACAACATTAGTCATACACCTTACACAACTCAACATGCACCATACATCATACGTTCATACATTTAATTGAGAATTTACACAAAAGCTGTATGTTGAAAATTTATTGACTTATAGATTTACTAACAAATTATGCACAATAAACTTCTAGAAGGATACAAATGTGTTAGATCAAATAAACATAAATGTTTGTTAAAATGATAGCTGCTCACGAAGTTTTAATTTTTCACATTACTTAATCATTAACAAATGAACATAAACTTTTTTTTTCATTTGTCCTCATCTCCTAAGAAGGTTATCTATTTAATTAAATATAATTTTATTCTTTATCTATAGACAGTGTCATTCAATTTTGCATTTTGAGGTAAATGATTAGACATTATATCTTAACAATAATTGTACTGAAGTTATAGTTGTAACAGAATCAAGCTAATTAAATCTAGAGACAATTTTGGCTGTTATATTTATTCATTTGATACGCATTTCGACAATTAAAGTCGCTTCAGTGAATATATCAAAATATTTGAAAATGCTCTCAAGAGTGATATATTGTTTGGCTTCGCAATCTTTTGGTCAAGAGTGTTCATGATGTAGGTTCTTCCCTGAAAATGTACCGTTTACTGAAGGCAAGCTGGAAAGCATGTTTGTTGTCTCTTAAGGGCCGACTATTGTTCTTGGCACTGTCGAGTCAATAATTGGGTTCGAATTACCTTGCTAGTATCCAAATATTCAGTGATTATAGATTTTATCATATACCGAACCAATCAGAATACCATACAGTATAGTATCATTGTCAAAACAGTTGACGTAAAGTTGGGATACTTTGTGACGAATTAAAAAGTTGTACTTTACTAAGGAGTGTTATATTTTATATAATAAGTCCATTGTTGCATTTTTGTGTTTTGTATACTGTTGTTTGTCTTTTGCTCCTTTTTTTTTTGCCATGGCATTGTCGGTTTGTGTTCGACTTATGAGTTTGAATGTCGCTTTGGTATCTTTCGCCTATCATGAATTGAGTTATAGATAATGCATATTTTAAGGTTTTTCTTGTCGTATAACAAACCCCGAGGTGTCCGAGGTGTGTTATACGACAAGAAAAACCACAACATATGCATAATCTGACTTATATCCCGAAAAAAATAATTATTTTCTGCAAAGATCTGCTGGATTTGCAACCTATTTTACCAACCATACTAAACATGCTAAAGTTGGATATTCTTTTTTGATGCGTTCACTTTTTAATACGACTTAAGGCTCATTAATGATTTGAAATAAAACTCACTAATTAATCTAGATATAAACTTTAAAAACCATTATCCAGTTACAATAAAAATATTACTGTAACTGCATGAAGCAAGACACAATTGAATTGTGACGGTGTATGAAAAATACAAGTAACTTTGTAAGTAATCTATTGTATCAACTTAGTTTATGAATGGGGAATGCTATGTCTTTTTCTGTGACCTTATACAGGTCATTATTTTATGTCTTGAAGCAAATTTCATTGAAACTTGGTATCGTTTGGGTTGATTCTTCAAATTCTGAAATAAAATAACTCCAAATAGGTATATAATTGATTACATTTTTTTTCATTGTAAACATGTATATAGATTAAATATACACATCAGAAGTAAAAATGTACTTTATCCATTGAGCGACTTGACTAACAACCGAAAATAATCTGTCGCCTGGCTACTTTTAACAACTCAAAAATCTGCAAGTATCATAGAAATACATGTATAAACAGTTAAACTTTTTCTATTTTTTCAATGTGTTGTCAACTAGAAACTGCACGTGTGCACATTGCAAGCATTTTGGAAAAATCTCTTCATTTATTTTGATTTCGCAATTTTTTTTCTGTAAATAAAAAAGAACCAATTTGATGGCTGTAAATGTTAATTCTTTACTTTGTAAAAAGATTGTGTTTAATGTTGACGTAAAATTGTTTTCGATGGCTAATATTCAAACAACCCAAATGAGTGTTGCTAAATAACCAATAGGGAATCAGAACGTATAAAAATTCAGAAAAAAACCTAAATACAGTCGATAAACCAGCATTTTGTGTTGGAAGATCATCGTTATAGAATTTTACAATTTTTTTTTTCGAATTGATAACTGGAAATTTCGTTCAAGTACCACTCTATTAAAGTAACTCATATGCAAGTGCAAAATAATTGACCACCGAAAAAGAGATTCTTGCTCGCATACAACATAGATAACATGCATTATCTTATGAGTGTGACCTGTTATATATTTCCCACATGAGGATACATTTCTCGCATCACACTGAACGGAGTGCAATATGAATATGCGTTATGAAAAGGGCATTGAATTGGGTTCCTGACACAATATTCTCAATATCGTAAGAGGATTTTTTATTGGAAGTTAAGTATGCAAAATTAAACATATTTCACATAACTTTCCCAATAAAAGGCAAAGCTTTATTTGAAACTCTTTCGAATTGGATATCGCTTGATACCGTCTCTCGTAACTAAGTTTCAGTAATAATTATCAACTTGCCAAAGGCTCGATTATTTTTTGAAATTAAACAACCCAACATAATATCAAGCGATATTAAATTCTCATTCGTTAAACAAACTACCATTAATAAACTACCAACGGTAGCAAACATTTGATATGTTGAAAAAGTAAAACGAAAGTCATTGTACATTACATATGACTTGTATAATGGGTGTATGTACGCTTTTGTAACTTTAGGGAAATCTTTACAATCGTATACAAGTCGCATTTCGTACATTACACAATGATATCAAAAGCGTATTATGAAAACAATGCAAATTAAGAAAGTATCATAATGTTTGCACCTTAGTCGAAACATTGCCTGGTACAGCAACACATTATTTATCCAAATTTTTAACTGACAACTATTTATGGAATAAAAACTAGCCGTTTGTTGATTTATTTCATTTTATTTTTTCGTTTTCTGTTTTTTTTTCAACTTAAATTAGGTCGTTATTTTAGTTTTCTCGTTTGTATTGTTTTACATTAGTCATGTCGGGTATTTTAAAAGCTTGCTATGAAGAATAGGTTTTGCTCATTGATGAAGGTCGTACGTTTACCAATAGTTGATAACTTCTGCGTCATTTGGTCTCTGGTGGAATGTTGTCTCATCGGCAATCATTTCATACTCATAATCATATGTTATATAGGTACTGTACAGATGTTGAGTTATATTATTCATGTCTAGGTATAATTCAAAACTACATGATACCGAATTTATATCGATGAACCATTTTGTTTATCGAATAGATAACTGGAAAGTATCACTCTATTAAAGTAATTTATTACACAAAATAATTGATTACCGAAATAGAGGTTCGTGTACGTAGTTCACCAAAAAGGCATCGACTCAGTTTAAAATGTATAATATTTATAAAATTCATTTCTTATCAGTGGTGCTTAATAACAAATATTCCATGTTGGTTGATTGTCTGTATTTATCTATGTTGATTTTTCTTAATTTTTGTACGTTCTAATTAATTTGTTTTGTTGTCTGATGTTGTTTTTTCTTCAACCCTATATAATTCATTTTCCAATATGCATCCTTCGTTTTTATAGAATACATAATATTTCAGCAAAATGAACTTTTTGTGGTCATTTGTAACCTGCTGGTCTTACTTGATTATTGTATTTATGGGGACCAAATTGACCTGAGGGAGAAATGGAAAACTAGACTTAAAGATAGACTGATAGATGGAAAGCATATTGTTGACTTATTTAGCACCGAACCAATGTCAAAGGTTTTCAATCAAATTCACTTGCTGATAAATTTTATTGGAACCGTCGATAGTCTTGCTTCCTTCATTCAGGAATTTATTTCAAAAACAGAAATAGATATGTTTAAAGAATTAAACAGATTTTCACAGATATAAACAAACAACTTGAACAAGCAAGCGATAGAAGGTTTGGTAAATAATTTCGAGACATTTTCTTTGAGTTGAGAAATATGGAATTTAGTTTCGTAATCCTGAACCGTTTTTGTGGAGAAGTTGGAGGAGTTTAATTGTACAAACAGCGCCGAGTGCGTAGTAGGACTGCCATTGATAATCAAACTCTTTAGAAATGACTTTGATATTGAAGACTACTATTCACACATTCTCAAAACAACTATAAATGGAACGCTGTTTTCGAAGGATTAACTAATTCAGCAAGCGACGAAAACATCTGGTTGTGATGAGAAAATAATTTTTAACTTTGGAAAACACTTGCTTTTGAAACAATTCAAAGCGGAACAAATCATGATCGTGTATGGTAAGCTGGCAAAGAAAAACATTGATTCAACAATACAGATTCATCAATAGACCAATGATATGTACGAATTACGAAGGTCCTTATTAAGAGTTGTAGAAGAATGTTCCTCACGTAATGTTTGTAAATCAAAGTGTCAAAACGGAAAATGTATACGCCTGTCAGAGGAAAAACGTGACATGTGCATTTGTTATAAATATTATGATGGTGATAACTGTAAAATACGTAACAAAGTTGTTTTAGTGAAAGATTTAGTGTCAGTGATGTCAACACTGAATGAAGTGCCTAAAATTGGTAACATTTTTGATCTTAAGTTAGCTAAAAACTATCTGGTTGCATCCATGAAGTGCTTAAGTCTGGCGTATGAAACTGTTCAACATGTTAATACCGAAGCTATTGATGCACATTTATTAACGGCTACTGATTTAGGATCCTTCTATGGCATTTATCTATGCATGAATTATTTGATTCTACAAGCAAGTAAGATAATACAGTGTGATACATTTATAATAGATCTAAACAAAAAACAGAAATTATTGAAAATTGCCTACCATTTGCCCAAAGTGCTCTTTATAATGGACTCGTTCTTCAATTATCGCCGAGTTTACAATATATTTCAACCAGAGACATTACTTATTACAGTTATTGGTCGACATAAGGACGAAGCGTGTTCAGCAGATTACAAAACAAATAAAGACAATCTTTGGAGGCAATTTCATATTGCAGTCGAACGGATTTTATGTCTTAAAGGTTTGCGATGTTTTATATAAACACTCCTCGCCCCCTGTTCCGCTTTCCGAGCAAAGAGTTAAACAACAGATAAACTTTGCAATAGAATCTACCTGCAGTGCGTCAATAACCCATTCTGCTTATGTTCATTGTGATAAGTTACATTAAGTTAAGAGTATGAAGTTGGAAAATAAATGCATAGTGGGATATGCCCGTGGTGGCACCCAATATTTTACTTGCCAAAGCATAACATCTGTTTGCAATCCTTGCGACTGTAACGCAACAGGCTCATTATCAACAATTTGTAATTCAAAAACTGGACAGTGGAGGTGTAAAGGACATTTTATAGGAGATAAATGTCATAACGAAGTGCGACAGGACTGTAAATGGAGTGACTGGAAATCTTGGTCTGCCTGTAGCAAAACATGTGGTATTGGAGGGAAGGAGGGACGATCAAGATACATAGTACTCCCACAAAAGGGACAAGGGAGGCAATGCCAAGGTGATAAGTTGGAGAATAGGACATGTTTCAAACGATGTTGTAATGGTACATTTAAGTGTAAAGACAGTTCAAAATGCTCCCTGGGAATAAAATGCCAATCTTGTAACTGTGACTACAAGGGATCGATTAATGACATATGGCAGCCTATTAATGGTGACTGTTCTTGTAAAACAAAGTTCATGGAAGGCGTTGCCAAGGTAATCTTATCATATTTTATACAGGAAGGTAGGCGTTTCAATATTTATTGAGAAAAAAAAAAGAAATATTGTCGATTTATCAATGCAATTGACTATGTTTATCCGTTGAAATTGATAAGATAGGTGTAATTGGATATACCACATTAAATGTTATTGTGAGAACAAAAACAAAAGCCGTGTATAAACAATGTAGATGTAAGCCTACCGATTTTCTACTTAAGAGCCAGTCTGTGGTAAAATCATGCAAAATGGTCCGAATCCAAAATTATCCAATCAGACTGATATTTTGTAGTTTTGATACCTTATATGTAATAACTATTTGTGCAAAATATTTTGAAAAAATATTCAGCCATTATTTGTGTATGCAGAACATTCGATAATTTTAATTTCTGTACTGACAAAAGGCCATTTTAAGCCTATTTTAGGGTATTTTGACCTGGTTTTTTGTATTATTATAGAAAAGTTGCAGCTTAATGATAACTAATACCTAAACAAACAACTTAAAATGAAAGAAAATTAGGATAGTTTTCAAAGTTTTGACATTTCTCTATACCCCTACTGGCAGGTTGATATTGCATGGTTTTGAAAAAGTGCCGATTCAGCAAAATTTGTCTTTTTTAAGACCTGAATCTTGTAAGATCATGTTTTGTTTTTAATAAAATGTAATACAGCATGAAGCTTATATATTTATCTACAAAATGCAAAAAAATGGTGCTCGGCAAATGATACCTTCTTACGATAAAATAACAATTTAAGATGGACAAGATGGCAATTTTGCCGTATTTATGAATGTTTTATTGGTTACAAGAGAAACTTTACATATGTATGTGATAGTAAAAATATTTGAAAATAATGACAGATATAATGTTTATGGCTTATCTTGTTTGATTAAACTCAGTTAAACTTAGTTTTAATTGAAAATATACTACAAAAGTAGGCCTGGAAAGACCCCTTTTAAGCCCCAAAATTTGGCATTTTCCATTTTATTTAAAATACATGTATTGACTTATCGCTTCTTATTAAAGTCACTTTTCAAAAGTAGAATACTTAAGTTACTTTAAAATCATTTTTAATGGGCTGTTTTTTTACAATACTATGAACATTCAACAGGTACTATCATCATTAATTTATGTAAAACTTCTGAAATCTTCACAATTTTAGCATTTGTGCTAATTTTAGACATTTGTTGTCTAAAATGGATATGGCCACTTTTGTTCATAGATATAGGAAGATGTAGTATGAGTGCCAATGAGACAACTCTCCATCCAAGTAACAATTTATAAAAGTAAACCATTATAGGTCAAGGTACGGCCTATTTATATACATGTTGTATTTGATGATATTACATACACATATAAAAATTGAGACTGGGTGCTTCTTACCTAGAAAAGGGGGTCCATTTTTTTATATTGTAATTAATCTTTATAAGCTTTTTGTCAAATATCAAGCAGATGCTGAGAAAAGTGTTACTTAAATTTTGTAACGCTGACATGAATGACAGATAGTGATCCCTATCTAGCTTCTGGGATAACAGTCAACATAACAACGTCAAGTTTCCTCATAGAATGTAATCTGCAATAACTTGAGGCATATGAATAAGACATGTAAGATGTAGTTAGCCTATAATACTACCACAGACAAACAAAAATATTTCAAATGGAAATAAAATTTATTTTATACCTACATGAATAAAAACAAATATACAGATAAATGGTTCAACTGTCATGACTGTGGTGCAGACATTTTCATTAAAATGGTTATATAATTTTTCAGGCTGTTTGCTTATAATTTTATTGTCATATAATATTAGCGAAGTCTGACATAAAGAGAAACATGCAAAACAGTCTGAATACATGCAAACAGTGATAAGATCTGAAACCAGGTCGGATGACTATTCAGGTCTAAGTTAGTAAGTATGCATCAATAAGAGCTTCAGTCAAAACATCCTGTTGTAATATATTGACTATGTTTCATCTGATTTCCTCTTTTCTACTACAGATCAGAACACTTTATCGACTTGTATTGTGCAGGTACAATATAATTCAAAATCAAATCAATAATTTCTGATGATAATTTTGTAGAAAAAGCCATTGTTCTTTTTGATACATCATCCCATGCCAGATTCAATTGGTTCCTAAATGGTGGATACTTTCCATTTCAAAGGAAATGCAAGCCTCTGTTGAGTTTCTCCCGGTCAGAAATGTTATCTGTTTCCCAATCTGATGCTAAATATTATGAAAAATTAGTTGATGCTGTGAATATACTATGAGAACCTGAGCATCTTTAATTTGGCTTTCATCTCCATCTAAAAAGATAAAAAATAAATCTACAAATGTACTTTAAAAAAATAATATATCCCTTATTATATTAAAGATAAATGAATTCTCAAATATACAATGTCCATGATATATGAGACAAATATATGGAATCTATTTGGTTCGGACCCAATGAAAAAAATATATAAGATATCTCAACTGGTGGAGTAAAATCATTGCTTTACCACATCTGTATATCTGATAAAACCTCAATGTCTTAATGCAATAAACTGCTTCGCTGAGCGCAGCTGGATACGTCCGCAGAGGTCCAACCCTGAACAGTTGGGGCAAAAATGGACACAATATTCAAGCTTGATACAGGTTTGAATTTGGATTGTAATTAAATATTTGACATATTATAGGTTTCTGAATAAATGTAGTCAAAGAACTTGAAATTGGTTATATGAATTGAATTTATATTCAATTAAAGATTTCTTGCTGTTGTGCAAAACACTGTGCTGTTGCACAATACTTAGTAAATCTGTTGTCAGACTAGAAACAAAAAAAGTTCAATTTCTTCTCAATGTCATATTTGAAATTGATGAAAATCAATAGGGAGATTACATCAATAGCTATAAATAATTCACCAAAGTTTCATGAGAACTGCTGAAAGCATTTTTGAGTTATTGTCCAAAAACTGGAAAATCCCCCCTTTTTTAATGAATAAAACCCCATAACTCAGAAATGTAAAATCTAAAATTTATAAAATTCTAAAGGGAGCTTACATCAACAGATATAAACAATTCACCAAAGTTTCATGAGAACTCCTGAAAGCAATTTTTAGTTATTGTATCCCCCTTTTTTATGAATAAAACCCTGTAACTCGGAAACGTTAAATCTAAAATTTATAAAAATCCAAAAGGGAGCTCATGTCAATAGATATAAACAATTCACCAAAATTTCTTGCAAGTTGGTGAAAGCATTCTTGAGTAATTGTCTGAAAACTGGAAAATCCCCCCTTTTTTAATGAATAAAACCCCAAAACTCGGAAACGGTAAATCTGAAATTGATAAATAACGAAAGGTAGCTCACGTCAATAGATATAAACAATTCACCAAAGTTTCATGCATATTGGTTAAAGCTTTTTTGAGTTAATGTCCGACATGTTGACGACGGACGGACGGACGGACGGACAGACGGTCAATGGTATACCATAGTAGGTCCCATAAACGGGCGTAAAAAAACTTAACCAAACTATTCATGCAGAAATTGTAGGCAAAAGTGACCTTATCAATAGTAACCATGTTGTACTACCCAAGATATCTATCCACTAGCTATAGTCAAGTATCAATGTAATACCATGTCTATTATCTTACAGAGAGACTTAAACACACAAAATTAACAAAGTTGCTCAAGTGGAAAATGTAGGTCAACATTACCTTTATAAAAGTGAATCATGTTGGACTTTCCAAAATCAATACACTGGTTAAGTATCAAAGCTATACAATTTTGTACCCGAGATATTGACCTTAATGCAAAAAACTTAACCATGTCACTTATGTGGAAAATGTAGGTCAAGGTGACCTAATTTTTATCATTTACCCTATTGCTCTACCCAAAACCTATCCACTGGTCAAATATCATAGCTATACTACATGTTTCATGAATATATCTAGTGTCACTTAAGTGAAAATGTAGGTCATAATGACCTTATTATAAATGTTTATTAGGAAATTCTAATATGAGGTCCTTGATTGAATCCAAGTCCATGATAAAACTAATACAAAGCTATACCCAGTACTGTAAATTCAGAAATTATTGCGTGCATTAAGAACTGCGATTTTGTAATGTAATTTTAGACTGAAATGCGATATTCAGAAAAATCCTGTTTAATTCATATAGTAAATTTCAAAATGCGAGTTTAAATTAGTGCGATTAAAACCCTGTCGCATTTTTCGCAATAATAAAAACATCACAATAATTTCAGAATTTACAGTAATATTTTTGACATTATCACTTTTTTGGTAATGGTTAAAAATTTTACCACTGGTCGTCTCATGATTCCCTAACCTCCACCCCTTCCCACTAAATGTAACTCTGTACATTTTAAATTCAGTTTAAAATGTTCAAAATGCCTTTCAATTGCCCCTGTAAAAAAACTATGCGGGTATGTATAAGAACCCTGCCACATCCGATCACTGATTTTGTTAGATGTATTTATGCTTTGTGTCAATCTGATGAGTTAAGCCTCAACTGACACATGACTGATTTCTTATGTTGAACATTACTGTTACACTACTGTCCCAGGTTAGATGAGGGTTGGCGCCTTCAAACGAATTTAACCTCAAAGTGGTTGTTGTTTGTTGCTGTATACCATATTTGTTTTTCGTTCATTGTTTTGTACATATATTTACTCATTCTAAATAGTTTAACATTTGTGATTTCTGGGCCTTTGATAGCTGACTATGCGGTATGGGCTTTGTTCATTGTTGAAGGCCATACAGTGACCTATAGTTGTTAATTTTTATGTCATCTAGTCTCTTGTGGAGCATTGTCACATTTGCAATCAATTCAAATCGCTTCTTTTTTTTATAAATGCAATAACATTCTCATACATGTATGTTTTCTTACCATAATCTTTTTTGTATCAACTATGATTCCTCCATCAGCTACTGTTTGTCTAATCTTGGTAAAATACTGCTTGCAAAGACCTACAATGTATGCCTTTGTGACAAAATGGAATAA